TGTTTCTCTTTGCTCTAGGTCCTGCTTGTTTTATTCATTCAATCATTAACAGGGTTTTGACCCTTCTCCTGCAGGGTGGGCGTTGGTGTAGAGTGCAGATGTAACCAAAAAAAAAAACGATTTTGAATGAGATTTTAAACCCTGAGAGTAAATCAGTAAGCATGCCTTTGATTTAATTAAAAAGTCTCATCTCTTTCTCTCGACTCGTATTGTGAAAACAGTGAGCACCAGGATCCTGAAGTGACCTTCGTTTCTTTCTTTCTTTACTGTCTTTCACCCTTTCAGCAGTAAATTGTGTCCAATATCTGAAGGCCCTTAAATAATGTATCAAGCCGATAAAAAAACTCTAGGCCAAGCATCTACTCAACCTCAGTGGAAAACACAATGAGGAAAATAGTCGATTTAATAGTAGATTTTTTTTCCTGCTGACAGGCAGTGGTCTTCCTCACAGAATTAATCTGAATGATATTTAGCCTTCAGCCTGCAGAGGTTCTTAAGAGTCCACCACCTATTCATTGATAAACATGCGGGTGCTTTTAGAATTGAGGGAAGTTGTCTATCAGGCATTCAGCTGTATCTCATTTTCCCCACATAATAAACACGTGTCTGTAAATATGCTCCTGATACTTCAGCTGAAACACAGTGTTTAGAGTGGAAGGTACAAAGTCTCACCTTGAGACTTTCATCAGCTGAACGTGGCCCTCTGATTGCAGTCGCACTGAAATTTTATTCGGGTCTGTCAATATCCTGGCAGGCCAGCAGCATTAAGTGCAAACGGGTTTGTAAGGGGAAAATTTCACAACTCAATATCTGAGCCTGGGAGTCAGCAAGTCTGTTACTAAATTTGGCTCACATAGAGTTCGATAAAAGCTTCCGAGATGAGACAAACTGGTTCACAAAATGGGAACTTGTGCTGTAAAAGTTTGGATACTAGAGTCCAGTGGCGGATCTTCCTATGGGCGACAGAGGCAGCTGCCAACAGGGCGCTATCCGGGAGAGAGGGCATAATGGTACAGTGAAGTATATGTACAGAGCTTAAGAGTAATAGAAAATGAAAAGCAAAAAACTTCCAGGGCGCAGTACAAAACAAGAAAATGCGTGTGAATGCTGACAGCTCAAATGAATCCAACAACACTGCTGAAAATGCAGAAATATGAAACAAATTGCCTGAAAGATATTAAAACCCAAAAGCATTGGCTATACTGCTGGAAAACCTGAAAGCTACAATGTAAAACTGGCAGAAATGGAAGCTGAGTTCAATTACATTGGTTTTCATAATGTAAAGGAGCTGAAATACCTTGCTAAAAAAAAAGCTGGGAGCTTAAATGCAATTCTTTTAAATGACTGAAATTGGCCGAAAATGCTGAAATAAGTAATGCATTGTGTTTTAAAGACATAAAAAGCAGAAAGAAGTTGAATAAGACCAAACTGAAAAAGCGGAAATAAGAAATTCATTTCATTTTTAAAGGCATAAAAAGTAGGGGGAAAAGCTGAATAGGTCTAAACTGAAAAAGCTGAAATTCAAAATGCATTGAATTTTAAAGATATTAAAAGTAGAAAAAAGTTGATTAAGACTATAAATGTCTTGAAATGTCTTTAAAGACCTTAACATTATGACATTTGATTGGTTTGGGTAGCTGAAAATATGCACCATTCAAAGTTGAATTACTTCTTGACCTGTTTAAAGCTTAAATGAAGTCTGCAGATAACAGTATGCCGAGTAGTAAATTTTCTAGAGCCCAGTGGTGGATCTTCCTATCGGTGCCAGGAGCAGCTGCCTCTTGTTACTTTGATTTACAAATTCGAAAAGGAGCAGGAGGAAGTAAACTTATTAAATCCAGCCCCTTCTCTATAAGTCATTGAGCGAAATGAAACAAACAGATTCCTAATATAGATAAATTTAGTAAATGAGGATGATATGAAATGACACAAAATCAACAGTATGTATAAATGGATTAAGGCAAGAGGTAACACTTTTGGCAATACTGAGAGAGTATGACTGGGGACGCAGGGATACGCAAAACCATTTATCTAACGAAACCTAAATTAAGATCAAAATAACTAAGTCTCCTATTCAACATAAATTCTTATCACAACACAGCAGCTGCATCAGGTGAGGGACATTTTGCCTACTTTTCAGCAGCGTTGACTCAGGCTGACGGTTCTCAGGGGACCCCGAACTGTTGCTTGTGGCTCCCGGGCTTCATGGCACTGTTTCCCAGCAGAACGAAGCCAACTGGAACACAGTGATGTAGGGCGGTTGAGCCTGACTGCGATGTCCTTCAGGTGGCCCTCAAACATCGGTTATCTTAGGCTGTGGTTTGGCGAATAACTTTGGCAGGTTGCTGGCAGCGCTGGGTCCAATGAATCTTTCATGGACTTCGAGGTGAGACCAGGGGCAAATCCATAAACCTTTGACTCTCAGAGTGGCCCATCTCACCTCTGTCTATTTACTTACAATTTATGTTTTGGGGGAGTTCAGCAGACTGTTCCTCCTACAAAAATAACCGATGTATATGTATATAATAGTGATAACCAAATATCTATCTTACAAAAACCTGTCTTAGTATATAGTTTAAATTACCAATTATCCAATTATAATAATACCAATTATATATGATATATATTTTCTTTGCCTTACAGTTTTTTTTTTAATATCACTTATATATCTTCATCAACTATCTTTTTATACATATATATAAATAAGTATTAAATATGAGTATGACACAAAGGAATTGGAAGGGGAAAAAAAGCAAATTTGCACATACCGTAATCTGTCATTGTTTAATTTTCCACTATTATCGTTTGTTAGCTAGCTATTTATTTATTTTTTATTTTTCTTTCGCTCTTGTTTGTGATAAATGTTAATTATCGGAATTAATTGGAGAGGGGATGGGGGTGCCAAATGTGCTAGGCCCGGCACTGCTAGAGCCCGAAGGTGCAAAACTACTGCCAGACTTTGACAAAGATTGAGGAATGTTTTTTTTTTTTTTTCAAAAAGAAACCCATTCAGTTTGAGAAAATCTGTGTAAAACTCCACCATTAGACACCTTACAATAAGCCTTTTTGTTTTAAACTCCTCTTAGGCTGGTATTCATCTTGTTTTACAAGCCTCATATCTCCAGGCAAAGTGCTTTTTTACTCTTTTGTTTCCCTTCAGCGGCTCCACAATACATCTTTAACTTGTGGATGATTTCAGAGGCTTTTAGCACAGACTGAGTCACAAATTTAAATACCAATGGGAAAGAAACGAGAAATCTGCCAGCAGAATTCTTAGCGGGCAACTAATCTTAAGCTGTGATGAATTTGGCAGGCCAGCTGAGCTCCTACCTTTGTTAACACATCATTACGTTTTCCCCTCTCTTCTCCGACTATTTGTGTGAGAGGACAGCAGGAACTGCAGCACGCGCACGCCGCCGCTGCCGTCTACATAGATGCATAATTAATGTGAACTGTGAGGCATTCAATGCCTTTTTTTTTTTCTTTTTGTAAAATGATAGTAATTTGGGCTGAGATGGACTTTATCCTCTCAAGGCTACTAGAAACCCTGACATCTGTGTTAATGAGATAAACCAACTGTGTGTGTGTGAAGCTTTATGCTGTGCTCATGTGTTTACTGTCATTTCTCTGCATACACACTCAAGAGTTTGGGAGGAACTCAGTGGGATCACAGACAGTTTCCAATTAATGCGTATTTGTCTTTGCAAGAAGTATAGCTTGTGCATACATATACAGTAACATGAATAATTCTGTGCTGGAGTGGTGGGAGTTGATAAGGTCTATTAATTTTTCAGCGATTTGGAATGGGGAGCTACACATGATCACAATTTTCCCACTAGTGTAATATGCACACATTATGTCTCCATTTGTCACACTTGGATGTGATCATTCACACAAATTAATGACACCAAGGGCCTCATTAAAACTGCTCCTATAAGAAAGTGTTTATTTGAGTTCAGTATGTACATTTTACAACAGCAAGGCAACACATGAGCATATATAGTGATACATAAATTATATTAGATGGTAGCAAACTGAAAAACAGTAATCATAATTAATATAATGTCATATTAGTATTCAAATAAGATAAATGCATTGTCTGTGTGAAAATGGGATACATTTGAATTCATAACAGAAATGAGAGATATAGTGTATCCCTCATTAAAAAGTTTCGGTGCTTTGCAGTTGCCGTGGTTGCAGGCTTTCACTGCAAGTTAGTCTGGAGGGGGTTGGATAGCGCGGGGGATAAAAATCATGAATCCACTTTAATGAGATATGGTCAAATTAGCTTGTGTGCCATATCAGCTGAATTAAGGTTGTTTAAGGTGCTACTGCTGGATCGGAAGACAAAGCAACTGAAGTGTACTGTGTCTGAGGTCGGGAGAGTGGCCTCAGCGTGGCTGGCTGTGCAGCTGGCTGGATACTGACAGCATCATGTGGAGGCACTGCAGTTCAGATTCAGTCTCTAAAGCCCCGTTTCCACCGAGCTGTACGGTATGGTTCAGTTTGGTGCACTCGTTTTCCGTTTCCACTGTGAAAAGTTGTGGATGGTACCAATGGAATTGATCTGTATCGTCCCCATTTTTGGTCCCCCCTCTGTTGGGGTACCTAGCACACAGATCTGGTACTAAAAGGTGGAGCTGTGAACACTGCAGTCTGTTGNTGGTCCCCCCTCTGTTGGGGTACCTAGCACACAGATCTGGTACTAAAAGGTGGAGCTGTGAACACTGCAGTCTGTTGATTGGTCAATAGAGGACGGTCACTCTGCTCAGGACTGAGTTGAGGCTGGTTTTGAGGCTCATGTAACCACTGTTCATACTGTGGAGAGTTTTACATACATTAGTTAACTATAACTATAATCTATAACTATTTTGTTCTGAAAATGTCAGCGGGCAGCCTCGTTCTGTGGACGACAAACAAGGTGCAGACTGATAAAGGAGGAAATACAGCCAGTGCTGGACGGAGCAGCGAGTGACAACAACCCCGCCCACATTTAAGAGTACTGTTTGTGGGGGAAACGCAAGGGTCTAGGTACCATGTCTGAAGGGTTACTTTCGGTCCCAAAGGTACCGTACCAAAAGTGTTTGGTGGAAACGGGGCTTAGCTGTTCCACTTTTGTTCAAGTTCGGCTTCAAGATTTGCGCTTTGCCTCCGAGAAAGAGAATGAATGGATTGGTCCATAAGTGCAAAGTGAATACTCTGGTTTTACACCATGGCCACGGAGAATGCTCAGTTCTGATTGGCCAGAGGATGTCTGTTATTTTCAGATGACCACGTGCCTCTGATGTAGTGGCCCCATAACATTTCTTAACTTGTTGATATAGCTGAAAGGGTAAAGGTGTCAGCTGTTATCCAGCTGTGTAGTATAGTACTTACAGTTTGACATCTTGGGAAATATGCTTGTTCAGTTTATTGCCAAGGCGAGGAGAAGAAGATGATACTGATAGCACTCTCATGTCTATGGTTAATATTAAGCGTAACCTGCCCACCACTGCTCTTTATTTAAACAGTGACTTCCTGAAGTCTCCGTTCACACTGACGACAAGGCCCCAGGAAGTTACTGCACACAGTACAGGAATCCTTCATCCCCCAAATAACAATACACAATCCTCTAAAACACAGCAGTGTTTGTTTTTTCACTCGTAGGTTTTTACACAGAACAAAAATGATATAAAATGTTAATTAGCTATCTTTAGAAGTGTTGATAGGGAGATTTGTATTGTCTTTTATCATTGCACAGAGCCAGGCTAGCTGTTTCCCTCTGTTTCCAGTCTTTATGCTAAGCTAAGCTAACCAGTTGACCAAAGCTGCATTTATCTACAAACATGAGAGTGGTGTCAATCTTCGAATTGAACTCTCAGCAAGAAAGCAAATGAGCCTGTTTCCCAAAATGTCAAACTATTTCTTTGAATTGTTCACCACTGGCAAGCTGCCATGACAATATGTGAGTGACATGATCCACTGTGACATCAGTGGTTATAAAAAATAACACTCACTGCAGAAGCAAACCTGTGGATAATAAGCCTCTGCACCAAACATCAAGTTTCAACAACTGTGCTGCTAATCATGGATCATCTCCTGTGTAATAATATCATCATTCACAGAGTGAGCGACTTTGCAGTTACCACTACCAGGCCGAAGGTTCGTTGGTGGCCTCGCCCCTGTCGTTGAACACACAGGAGCGTGACCTTCTGCGAAACATAGTTGCCCCCGGGCCTTTCCTCCTGGTGAGACGCATATAAATGTCAGAGTGGAGGAACCTGGGGTAGGAGTCCTTTTTCATCAGGCTGTAGACTTTCATCTGGGCCGCTTCAAAACAGGTCTTTGTGGGATGTGCTATGACCTTCTGAATAGCCATCTTGGTGTTGTAGTCAATGTTGACCTGAGTGAGAGGAAATTATAATACAATGAAAATCATGCAGGATAATAATGTGGCACATCGACTGCATACAGGAAATCTAGACTTAAGGAATGCCAGCCCTCACAATGAAAATGGCTGCACATGTTTGTGCAAGCAGCTTATTACAACCCATATTTACGTTTATTGTTAGGCAGCGTCCCCTATTGGCCGTAGTAATTATGACTGTAGCAAAGGAGGAAATCAGGTAATGTAGTATAAGGCGCAACAAAGTCTGGGACAAGGTCGGGGTGGGTCCAACAAACACAGGACTTTCACCCAGGAAACTATTGATTTTTTTTTTTTTAGGTGCTCCATAAATTAGGAGTTTGAAATACGTTTTACTGCTGCTGCCATCCACAGCCACCAGACTCCTTTGACGGAAACAGTAATTATAATTTTAATAGCACCATGTTCCACCTCAAAGCTCAAATTGTCCAGGCTAGCACTTGTCAGCGTGTGTTTGTGTATGTGTGTGTGTGTGTGAGTGTTGTCAGAGCTGTTACCTAAATCATTGCTATCTAATGAAGGCTGAGTTTTCATCTGAAAAACATGGGAAAGAATGTAGGTCGACCTGCACTTTAAGTAACATTACGTACAAGGTAACTTCCATACCCCACTTAAATGACCAAACAAACGTACCTACTTTAACTCACACCGTGATTGATTATCGAAACCTAACCAAGTAGTTTTGTTGCCTTCAAAATAAAAGCTTTGTACTGTTAATTCACTGTACTTAAAAAAAAAAAGTGTGTTTGTACAAATTCAACATGTTTGCGAGTCACTTGCGGTCCATTCAGAATGGACCCATGACCCACTTTTGGACCGCAACCCACCAGTTGGGAACCACTTGCCTAAACCATTTCACAATGTTAACCACGTGTTAAAAACTGTGACAGCAGTTCATGTGCCTGTGGCTGCTGCTCTCCAACAGTCATGGCAAAACAACCTATGGCTTCCTGTAAGTACGAGGATGTGTTTTGTTTTGTTTTAGATCTGAATCCATGATTTAGGTTTTTTGGTTTGTGCTTGAACAAAGATTAGAACAGCACAATAACAGACCATGTGTTGCACATGGGCCTGAGTAGATTTGTTGACAACACATCAAATGGTGACAAGAAGAAAGGGGGAAACCCCGAGGTTCACAGTGAGAGCAGTGTTAAGTACTTGAAATGGGGAAAATCAACATTTGCATGTTTTCAAAGATTACACACACACGGCATCCAGAATGAAGTTTCATATTTCATTACTGCATACTTCATTTATTTGAGATTGTCAGGATGCTTTTCAGTGCTTGTTCTCTTGAGACAAGTATCAACGTGACATTCTTGGATTTGATGTTTTTCTTTTTAAAGGTGGAATCATCTGAACCAGAGCCAACATCTGTGTTATTTATGGCCCTGTTTTTTCTGGTGATAGATAAGACTGAGACCTGATAAGGAGACATTCTGTTTTGTTGGCACCAAGTGACCTACAGCTAATTTGAGTTTATAGCTCATATAATCAATCACTGATACAAATCAGCTCCCTGGATATCATCATGGATATGGATGTTAATTATCTGGCGCAGGCTTTTGTGAATGAGTTGTTTGTTTAAAAATACTAATTAGGACAATGGTAGTTATGGGAGTTACTGGCTGTGAATTGTCTTTCGGAGTTTTTCTTTAAAAGATTAACAGCGCCGAAGCTTCTTACACAGCAATAAAGATAATCAACAGTAGCACAGCTCTGAAAAATATTCATGTGTGTCAAACTGCGGCTCCCCAGCATCAATATTGAAGGTTACATTCATTTACATTTGGATCTCTCTGCAAATCACTCGAGCTGGTACACGCTTTCATGTTAGTGCAGCATGCCCCATATTTACACAGACATTCATCTTAGACTGAAAGTGTGTGGGTGACACGCTCTCCAGCTCTGCAGAGGAATGTCAAAAACCTCAAACCAGACGCTAAACTCTTAACGGTCAGAGTCAGATCTGCTGCGGGCCATGAAAGCATATCGGTTGGTGGTCGCATCATCCTTGCAAGGGGAATGGAAACCTTTGAATGTGCGACTCTTGCACAGAAATAACCCGAACTGCTTCGCAGCGGTGCATGCACTAGATGCATGACCTCAGCGAGCTGCTGCTCCTAACGATTGTTCACAAAGGTCAACCTGCTGCAGGCTCATGACTATGCAGTGCTTAAGAATTCGCCCACTGTTATTTTTATACAGTGACATAAATATTTCAAACCTCCAACAGCACTCAGTGACAAAAAAACAAAAAGCCAAGGAAAATGTTAAACCGCAGAGGTTGAGTCCTCACAGCTCCATTTTATAGCCCATTATGCAGTGCTACATCTGTGCAGTTTATGAAAAATAAACATGCCACTCCGTACCTCTTTAGGGGCCTCCGATTCAATATACACCGTATAAATATATTTGGCTTTGGACAGCAGCTTTGTCTCAGAATCAATGTTCTTGTATTCTTCACAGGCCAACCAGAATTCAATGTTTTCCTCGCTGAACTCTGTCCTGAGGAACTGAGAGAAGCTTTCCACTCCATCTGATGAAGAAACAGACAGAGACACATTGTTGTTTACCAGAGTGACACAACACAAAGATGGGCCACTCTTCAAAACAGAATCAGTATTTTTCTGAGCCTGTTGGCTAAACACAGCTCAGATTTTACTGTAGCAGGATATGTTGGAGGGACAGTTCACCCCAAAATCAAAAATGCAGATTTTTCCTCTCACCTGTAGTGCTATTTATCAGTCGGTTGTTTTGGTGTGAGTTGCTGAGTGTTGGAGATATAGATATCAACAGTTAACCACTGATCACCAATCCACAGAGAATATTTTTGACTTGTTATGAATGTCGGTCAATAGATTCATTTTTCTACTCTTCAGTTTACTTCACTATGCACATCTGGGGTCTGGTAGGAGCTAAGTAGCGGCGCCGCTCACTCTGCGATTACTGCCAGTAATGCCGTCCTGACCCAAAAGTGTTGCTATGGAAACCAATTTTTGTACCAATCCTCCGGTTTCCCCTCAGGTTGCCCCGGTAAGTAAGCAGCTCAATTTGAAGCCACAAACTCCCTTTAGCATTGTTAACTTGGCCTATGTTATCACTGTTAGCTCTGTTAGCACCCTTAGTAGTGTCAGCATGGCTAGTGGTACTAACATACAACGCTAAAGGGGTTTTGCAGGTTAAAATTGAGCCGCTTGCTCACCAGATGACCAGAGGGGGGCCACCATGGTTCCGCAGCAATGCCGTCCTGATGGCAGTACCAGCAGTAGTCATGAATGAGCAGCGTTGCTTGTTGGCTCCCACCTGACCCAGGTGGTGTGCAGTCCAGAATGGCCAAGGCTAAGGTTAGCTAACCAGCGGAGACGGTAGGCACTGTTTTCATGCTTTGAAATGTGGTGCTAAAGCTCACTGAGTCAATGGAGTGGCGGACTGAAAGGAAAGGCCTCTTGTATTTCACATCATTTTGTCTTGTGTTGTTGTTGTTGTTGTTGTTGTTGTTGTTGTTTTCATAAATATTAGCCGATTAGGTACTGGTTAATGAGTATCAGGCTTTCAAATGCAAAATTAACCAAAGCTGACATCTGGTGTGCTGTTAGTGACAAAAAAATAATTGAAAAACTCAACAGCAATGTCTCTTTCCAGAACTCATGACCTGGTTACTCAAGATAATCCACAGACCTTGTTGTGAGCAGTTTCATGTAGGAACTATGTTCTCTCTACCAAACTACACCCACCAAATGTATCATTGCACATAAGGAAGTGTGCATCTGCTCATGGGCGAGAGGCTGGTGCTCATGACTGCATGAGATGTAAACATAAATGGCGTCCTCCTTGGCTTAGCTGTAACAATAGCTAGCTCAGTGGTGCTGGGTGAGTGAGCAGTAGATGCATGTGTCCTGTAATTTGGTAGAAAGAAAATAGTTCCTACATGAAACTGCTCACAACAAGGTCTGTGGATTATCTTGAGTAACCAGGTCATGATTTCTGGAAAGAGACATTGCTGCTGAGTTTTTCAAATGTATTTTTTGGCACTTTGAGCACCACAAGCTGAGTGCCATCTAGTTCCATTATACTGGAGAGAAGGCAGACATCTCTACAGCTGATATCTCCAACACTCGGCAACTCACACCAAAACAATCTAGATTGATAAACAGCACTACAGGTAAGAGGAATATGTATTTTTAATGTCCCTTTAGTAAGGCATAGACTCTCCATAACTTCATCATCCCATAGTTTCTAAAATGCCCATACTGTACCAATAATTTCATTATGTAGAAACTTAAATATACGTAGACAGTATTATTGTCTTCATAATGTAGCAGTGACTGTATGAACATTCCCAAATGAGCACATACAGTGTAACACAGTGTTTCAGTGAAGTACTAAAGTGCAACTTCTGTGCTCATGAGGAAGTTGCAGTTTCTGTATTGCTATCTGTGCTATAACAAACATTAAAAGATGTAGTGAAACTCTCACTGCTCTCTCCATTAACTATTTATTGCCTCCAGCACTTCTTTACAGTTTACAATTCAAATGGAGCAAATTGTTTGACAGCAGAAGAAACTGCTTTGGACGGCGCTTCGACTCAACGTTCTTGAGAAGTTTTGGGTATTAATCTGACCTGAGTGCTTCAGCAGTTCTTCAAAGGAGTCGCTCCATTGCAAAGCTGCCTCTGCTGTGATGCTGCAAAGAAAAAAAAAAAAAAATCAGAGACACGGTCAAGTCTCGCCTAACGATGCTGCGAGAAATGTTTTGGATTCTCATGACACGTCTAAATGCCATGTTTCTGTATGTGTGCAATGAGTCATGGAGGGTGCTGGAAAGCGAGGTTAAAAATGAATAATGCTTGTCAAACACAACAACGCACGTATATGAAATTAATGGGTTTTGCCTCACTTGCTGGGTGTCGTATTTGTCTTTTTATGGGGACTGACGTTTTCATGAGAGCCTGACTTGGTGAGAAAAAGGCTTAGTCGGCTCTTCCTCTCCTTGTCTTTCTGTCTGCAAACAGAGGAGAAAATACATCAACTTCCACAAACTGTTTGTACATGCAACTGTGGCACGGTTCACCAAATCAGCAGCTTATCAGAGAATTACTGCTCACAGACACAGTTCTAAAGTGGCTTACAAGACATGCTATAAATTACACAATGTCTTTGTGGTCCAACACAACTTGTGAGACAAACTTTGCACGTGTTTAAACAAAGAGACTCATCAGCTATTGAAAGTCAGCGTACATGATGTCAGCTGTAGTGACATTCAAAGTTATATTAAAAAAATACAAAACTATCTATTATAATGGTGTTATGCTGCTTTTGAGAAACATAAGGTGTTTTTTTAAATACAGAAATAAACTGCTGCTTCAGCTCTTTTCTCATGATAAAAGTGGCACTACTCACATTTCTGACATTCACTAACATTTACTAAAACACACTGTGAAATGACTCATTCCCAAATCAAGTAAACACCCCAAAACAACCAAGTTTCACACACCAACCTGCTAGTATCGTCCTTCATCTTTGGTGCATGCAAGTCCTCTGGACCAAGCATTTTGAAATACGCTTCCTCCTTTGGGGCCATGTAGTTGAATTGAGGAAATAGAAAAAGAAGCGTCTCCATGCTGTTCTTTCTGTGGCTGGTTTGCGAAGCGACAGGCCACAAATAGCTCTCTGACTTTTTTTTTTTTTAACCTATCACCCGACGAACCACCTCGTCTTTTATAAACCCTGCTCGCGTTTCATTTCCCATAGCTTTTGCTCTACTTCCTGTAATGGTTGTAACCACTTACTGCTAACAGCTCCATCAGTGATACAGAAACCCCCCTTGGGTTCAACATCCTGTCAACTTTTTACTTAGAAATTTAAAAAAGACAGCTGGTTTACGCTCATTCACAGATTTTTTGGTTTGTTTTTGTTTGAGTTAATATCTTACAGTTGTACAGTAACAAATTCTACTGGAGGTAAAAATGACCTGATGACCCAGGTGACACAAAAACAGCTGGTGGGGGGGTGGGGGTGGGGGGGTGCAGCAGAAATGTCCCTGTCAATATTTTGAACATGTATATTTGTCCCCCCTAATAAAAACATGAAAGTGGCAGAGGACTTTTATTTTGACAAAATTAAAGACATTTCCTTCATTAAAGCTCCAGTAGGCAACAATGTTTTGGTATAATTGAGTAAACATTTTATAATATCCTCTAAGCATAATGTAAATCAAGTGGTCTGAGGCAAACAATAGGTTTCTGCATCTCACCATGGCTCTGTGTTCAGCCTCTAAAGAATCAGTATCGTGCTGATGTACATCAACCAATCAAAGGTCAGATCAGACCACTGCATTCCTATCGGCTGTTCCACTGCATATGCGCGTGCCCGTGCCGTCGGGAGATGGGGAGAGCAAGCGGCAATGACGAACAGTGCACCAGGTAAAATAGCTATTCCAGCATTGGCTACAACTGCCTACAAGGCTAAACAACCCAAAAAAAGGAAGACAGAACTCGGTTCCCCGGAGCCCCGGAGGGAGGGGAAGGGTGAGGTGGGGCCGAGCCCAGCCGGAGGGCGCGAGGGTCGGCCGTGGAAGCGGAGCCGAGGGCTCTCCGCGGAGAGTAATGGGGAGGGCTGCTGCGCGGTGAGGGAGAGCCGAGGCTCCCAGAGAGGGAGAAATAGAACCAAGTAGGATAAAATACTCGCGTGCTCGTCTGGTAGGAGGGGCTCAGGGCAGAGACGAACGAAACCGAACTCAGATGAGACTCAAAAATCAACTGTTTTCAGGCTTTCTACCTACTGCAGCTTTAATTGATGCAGGAACATTCACCAGAAGGCAGGAAATTAAACCCACTAACACCCACTAACATTTGCACCTTTTGTATTTAATGGGAAAGATTACAATCAGCAGTCACTCACACATCAAATGACTCTGCAATAGTCATGGGGATATATCAACACCAGCTCTGACTGGCTCTGATCGGCAGTGATGACATAAATAGAAATTAAACTGCATAAAAAAAGCACCTTTCCAGTCTCCAGTCCGACCACTCAAAGCGCTTTTACACTACGTCACATTCACCCATTCACACACACATTCACACACTGGTGGCTGAGGCTACCATACAAGGTGACACCTGCTACTCAGTAAGCATTCACATGCACTCACACACTGATGGAACAGCCATTGGGAGCAATCTAGGCTTCAGTATCTTGCCCAAGGATACTTCGACATGCAGACTGGAGGAGCTGGGGATCTTACCGCCAATCTTCCAATTTGTGGACGACGCACTCTAACTCCACAGCCGCCACAGACATGATGAAAAGACGACACCCATGATGACGCGCTAATTTTAGCCTCTTTGCCCTTCCTTTGTGTCAAAGTGTGTCGCTTGAACATCGTTTGTTTAGTCGGCACCAAGTTTGCAATGCATTTGTATCCCAACTTGTCAAAATATCGCCACTAAATATGACGCACTAGGTACCCTGTTGTTGATGCTCTGGAAAAGTGTGTGAACGTACACTTCAAAATACACTTCCATTTTCACAGGAAATGCACAGTTTCTGCTCGTTAAATGCATACAGTCTTTACAGTCTAGTTGCAGGCGGCATTACAACCTGACGCCACCTGGTGGGGTTACAAACTGTCGCCTCCTAGCAGTGTGTCATATCACCGCGAAAGGTGCTGAGATCACTGACAAAGCAGTGGTATTTGACAAGATGGGAACGGGATGGAGTTTGAGAAAGAGACTGAATAAGCAAGTCATATAAAAAAGAAGTAACCTCAGTAACATTTTCACTGGCCTCCATGCTGCTTTCTACTGTTTACTAACCTGTTTTCTGGCCTGTCCGTGACATCAAATATGACACACGTGGAATAAATTAATACAAACAGACAGGCATATTTATCTGTTGCAGACCTGTGTACAGTTTTTCACTTATTTTTTTCTTGTGTTTAAAAAAACCTGTATACATGCGCTAATTTTGGTGCTGAAACAAAACCTATTCAGTGGTGTTTATACACGCTCCTCGCTGCAGTGGTATTATATGATTGACACTATTTAATGAATCAAGCTTGCTGATAAACGTGGTCTTTAAATGTGGATCCTGGGCATTATGAGACAGATCAAGCTTATTCTGTGATTCCACCTGCACCACCAGCAAGGACAGACACTGCAGAGATGGAAAGAATGAAATGTAATGAATAATAAAAAGTGTCTGCGCAGAGTCCAGGCTTAGCTCTTTCCACAGCATCAGAGCCTTAATGGAGAAAGACAAACTCACGGTGACACAGTGGAAAGCAAAAGGGAATATGTGCGCTGTGGGGCAGACGGAGACAAATGTGATGTCTCTGTTAGAGAGAGACTGAAACTGTCTTTGAGGATACCAGCAGAGGGTCTTGACAGTGTTTATTTAGGTCTGACAACCAATGAATAAAGTGCTGACAGAAAAACAGCAGGTGTACCATAATGAAAAAGTCATGGTTAGCTCAAAGGTCCAGTGTGCAGGATTTAAGGGGGTGTATTGGCAGAAATTGAATATAATATGAATAACTATGTTTTCATTAGTGTATAATCACCTGAAACTAAGAATTGTTGTGTTTCCTTACTACAGAATGAGATGTTTATATCTACATATGGAGCAGGTCCTCTTTGATGGAGTCCACTGTGTTTCTATGGTAGCCCAGAACCGAAAACCAAGCTTTATATAGGACCACTCTCTTTTTCACGTTTTTGTCTCTACCACCCTTGTTCTTTTAATCTGCTATTTCACCACTAGATCTTTAATGTATAAATCTTCATCAAAGTTCACCTCAGCTCAAAAATGTGTGTTTTGCTTATCGTTAACATGTACCAGAGTCCTGCACCGGGTCAGATACCCACTGATTCCCGACTGCGTAATGAGTTAAAATACGCGGGTAAAAGATGAGGTGGCAGCCAATGTTGAGTTCAAGACACCCAATGAGGATCATTTAGGTTTTATGGTGGTGGAAGGAGCATGCTAAAATGTTTCCTTATCTGGGAGTGATTGCGCAGAATGTGATACCGTGAGGACAGAAACAGAGGGTTCAGCGGGGACAAAGCACCTGCAGCAACAAGTGAACCCGCCGTCTTCGGCCATTTTGACTTGACCAGCGGACTTCACTACAAGACGATTGGCTGTTGGAACATGTGACGAGCTTTACGTTCTAAAACCATCTGCTGGAGATTTGACCAGCTGAGCTGCAGGTGACACTATCAGCCGGCTTGAGTCGAGCTCAGAGCGGCCTGTTCACACTGCTGCAACTTTTCTTTGCAACGTTCTAAAACAGTTTCATCTTGCCACTAATCTTTGGCCTGTACTGGGCTGTAGATCACCAACAACAGCCAGGTTTGCTTCATATTTCTGTGGTAATGTTCACAAAATTTGGAAAAAGTACAAAAAGGTTGGTTTCTGACATAATTTTACGATAACATGAACAATCGTTAGCCACGAAAGATAAAGGCTAATATTTCTTTGTTTATATTATCTCTGTAAAGTTGTGTTCACACCAAACATGATGCAAATTTTCACGTCACATTAGTCGCAAGTCTGAACACTAGAATATTTTGTGTTTACTTGCTCAATATGTGTGAAAAACTTGCATCATACGTGGGTAAAATCAGTGAATTGATTAATAAACTTCTGCCTGTATATCCTTGGTGTCATACGTCTCTGGAGGATCTCAATGCTGATTGGCTATAGCGGAGCGAATTGATCGTTGAAGTTCAGAATTTTCTAAATTGCAATACTAGCTTAATTCATGCCACTTGATTTGCTTATTTCATGTCATTTGCATCGCATCCATTGCACCGCCGATGGGAATTTGCATCTAATTGCATCTTTACGTTGTATTTACATGTAATTCACTTGCGCCAATTGTTTTATTTGCATGTGGTATGAACACAACATAAGCGAGCTGCCTTTAAGTAACTTTTTGATGTTATTTATCTGGATATGTAAACAATGTCTAACATCCCATTGGGAATGTATCCTTCTATCACACACTGCAGTCCTCGTGTCTACTTCTTGAGGCTATCTAATACACACTGTGGTACCCAGAACCAGCATTGCCATGTTTGTTTCTGTTAATCTTGTCCGACCTAGCAACAGTACAATTACAATTGGCTTTGCAGCAAACGTTGTTGGGAGTAAATGTCAAAACCCCAAGATCAAGAAGAAGAAGAATCTCGGCTATAGCGTTGCTCTTGATGACCAGCCATTGTCGCTTGTTGATGGATTTTGTCCTCTTCCTGGAAACTTGGTTTCAAAGTATGAGATTCCCAACTGTCACCATATCACAGAGAATGTCACACCAAAGGTAAACAGCAACAAATTAGAAGTGGCAGAGGAGGCTGGGATTTAATCTGTACAAATTTCAAAGCGAAGCAATATCATATAAAGTAAATATCAAGATGTAATGGATGCAAATAGATGCAAATGAACCTGCAGTGGCGCAAACTGAGGCGAAGATGAGTCCACACAAGTTGAAAATGCCTCGACTTGATTAAAGTTTTTGGCCATGTGTTAAACTTTGTGAGTGCAATTCATGAACTATGCAGACGAGAGAAAAGGAAATAAGGGTCTGGAGGTAAACTGTGGAAAGAACTTAGTTCCTGTTAAGTTTTGAGCTGTCACACACCCGCAGCACAGACACACTCTGCACACACACAATTAGTGCACAGGTCACTCCTCAGCTAGCAACCTAGCTGCACAGTCCAGCAGTC